TTTCTTGCCTGCCTTCCCCCTCTTTCTTCCTTTTCCTCCTCTTCCTTTCTCTTGTTTGACAATGAAAATTAACTTGTATTGACTTTTTACCCCTTACAACATGTTTCTCTCTATATATTTTTAGAGGCTAGAGATGCTCATTTATGAAAGTGCACTAAAAACTAGTCATTCTAACAGAAGTATCCAAAACTATTATGGAAGAGCTTGTTCATCTTCTTTTACCCTGATGTTTAGAGGTCAACCCATTGTGCTTTTTGCTTACTACTTTCTTATAATTAAGTACCATGAAGTACCACCTGTACTTTATCATGGAAAAATTATTCCTTCCATTTGTCCTGGCTTTATTAAGTTCAAAATTAAAGGTGGTGGTAAAACCGGGGAGATGATTTGCAGCCAAGAACAATGGAAGCGTCTGTATTTACCATGCGCCAGGCACTGTTCTAAGAGCTTTATGATGATTAATTCAGTGAATCTTCACAATACCCCTATAAAGGCCACTGTGATCCTCATTTTATAGATCAGGAAACTGGGGCACAGAAAATATCATAATTTGCTCGTCAGTGGCTGATGTCATTTTCGAATCCATCTCCTTTCCTACCTAAGACAGTGAAAAAGAAAAAACTTTTGAAATTATCTTGAGAAAAAGAATTGTGTGTGTGTGTGTGTGTGTGTGTGTTTTGAAAAAGAATTCAGTGATGTCAACTTCAGTTCCTGAGACTAATAATAGTCAGCATGTCGCAGGCACGGTGTGGACTGTTTTTCTGTGTAACATCTCATCCTCACAAGTGTCCTGTGTCATCACTGTGTGACCGGCGAAGCACAATGGGATTCATAGACCTCAGTGCACAGCCGGGAAGTGGGAGAGTTAGGATGCCGCTGTGGTCAGCTGGGTCCTGTTCGTGTCAATGGCTTTCATCTCTACCTAACTGCTTGACAGCCTTCCTTCCGTGGAGGTGCTGGGTGGGTTTGAACTGCTGTACATTCACTAGCAGCTGACCACATGGTCCTTAGA